TATACGTATATATGTATTTATTCTCAGATGCACACACAGATGGAGAGAGAAAAATAAGCATTTAAAATACATAGATATGCTATTTTTAATTATCTTAATTATGACCTTTTAGGGTTTGATTAAATTAGGAAGGAAAATCAGTTGACATCCTGTCACTGAGCTCTAACTGCAAACTTCTCCTTAGTGCAGTTGAATGTTCCTGACTCACTTATTATCTCTTTTTTAGTAAACTATGTTTGACCCTTCATGGACAGCCTCAGCTACAGAATAGTTGGATTAATGCAATCTGAAGGTTGAAAGTCTAAAAAAAGGACTATAGGGTACCTAGGAAACATTTTTCTTTTTTTTTTAATAATCAGATCTTAATGATTAAAATCTCCCTTATTACCATGTGGTTTTCTTCTTCACTAGATTTTTTTTTTTTCCCCCAGAGTCAATACCTTTGGAAGTCCTCAGTCCCTTTTTACTTTGGGAACATACTTCTATGCTATACTTCTCCATTTGGAATTGGAAACCTGAGCTGAAAATGCCAAGAAAAAATTTGAAAATTATTTTTTTTTCTTTCCAGTAGAATGTGTAAAGCAGAATGTATAAGATTTTGGTCAGCTTGCATTTGGTTAGATTAAAAAATTACATTTCAAACATTTGAGTTTTCATGAACCAGTCTGCATTAAGTGTGCAAGTAAGTCTTTAAGCAAAGCTTTTTCCATTGAAAGACCTACTATTTGACTAGGTGAGTATACTAAACTGAACTTTAGCCCAAATTATGATATTAAACCAAAACATTTTAGAATAGTGAGGCTAGGAATTTCTCAGTAAAAACTTTCTTTTAAAATATTAGTTTGTTGAAAACTAAGTTTTTACAATAAATTGTACAAACAGAAAAAAAATGACTTTTTTTTTTTTTTTAACCTTTTTAAAACAGCCCCAGTTGTCTTCTGAAAGGAAAACCCCAGCTCTCAGGTAAATAAAAAAAATAGATTCTATGTGTGAAGTAAATTTTGAATTTACAGTTTTGATTATTCCCACGTGAAACTGTTGCCCATATTATGTTAATCTAATCATAGAATATATCAAAGAACCAAAGTGTCCAGTTGAATCACATGGTTGAAAAAAAGATCAATTTGGTTTAAAGAATGCTGGTGTAATCAAACAGATAAACTTAAAAATCCCTATATCATAATGAAAAAACCTCCGTTCCTGTTACAGAGTGAATATAGCATTTAGATGAAATATGTAGAGATAAAAATTAATAATTTTAGATATTCCTCCATTTTAATTTTCATCCTGAAAAGAGGCACAGATTGTTAGCTATTTCATATCACTTTAGTTAACTTATTTATACAGCTACTGATTAAGTTAGTTAAGGAGGGCTTTTATCATTAACAAGGCCAATTTGTGTGAGAGATTTTTATGACAACACAGTGCTATAACTGAAGTAGCATTCTCCTCTCCCTGATGATTTACCTCTGGAAATTCTTTGTATTCTTACTTTAGAAATAATACATTAAAATCAGTTTTAGTGACACTTTTTCTTGAATATGTGTGGGGAAGAGCGAGAAAGAAGCAAGCCCCAATTCACTAGGTAATAGTGAATTTAATTTTATTGAAATAATGCCCTAAAAACAAATAGAAAAAAAATTCATTGCATATTTGGTCACAAGAGTAATTTTTTAGTGTTGGATGGAATTCAGGAAAACTCATTTCATTCAGATGACAGAGAAAGTGTTGAGGTGCCTGTCCAAACTTATCTTTTAGGTCCATTCATATAGTGCTGGAAATCCTTTATTCCTTTTTTCTTTTCTCTAACATCAAGCCTAGCCAAAAATAATTCAACAATTGCTTCATGCTTTGGCTGTCTCATGCTGTCTTTTAAGAAAAGCCTTTGAGAAATTATTTTCTCCTTCAATTTCTATCCTGTGCTTCTATCTTGTGCTTTTCTGGTTACTATTTAGTGTGATAAAAAGATATTTCAGATGAGGTCTCAAGATTCCTGTGACTCTCTAAGGTTGCTCATTGCAGTGCAGCCACGCTTAACACTCTCCCAAACATCAGGTGAATAGCGGGACACCTTTCCCACAACCAACTGCAGATAGCTTGAGCATGATGGGAGCCTGTAGGTTCATGGGATTGAGGAGTGCAGATTCTCCAGTTCTGGTTTCTTTCCTTTTGTCTTAGCAAGTCAAACTGCAGTTGCTAACTTATGCCATGACACTCTATGAGTCAACCCTTAGAGAAGCTCCTTCCTTAATGTGCAGTCACCTTTTGGTCTGATGCTGTTACGGAAGCCATGCAACACAATAATACAACAGGTCTGTGGTCCCATGACATTAATTTTAATTGCTGGTGTATAGAAGAGACCAATATATCTCAGCAATAAATGTCAGATATCTCTGTCACTCAGCAGTGCTGGAGCCAAATGAATGAGATACGCCTGGAGTCTTCCCACCCTGATTTAGACACTGCGTGGAGGTGCCCTGTTTAAGAACTGAACTCCAGTAGCTCCTTCAGCAGCAAACACACTGGGGTTACTGAGGGCTTCCTCAAAAATGTGCCCAGCACCACTCCCCAGAGGCCTGCCAGCAGGGGAATATTTTGAGGTGAACAATCACTATTAACGTTTCAGCATACCATGTGCACCTGCAGAAGCACACACATCCCTGTAAATTATGTACGCACCCCCCAGGGCATGCCCTGATACTTGCAACCTGCTACATTTCCAGCTCAAGGTAGAGGACTGCAAGGTGAGAAGCACAGAAATGTGGGGGGAGAGTGGGGATTGCCCCAGCTCCCCACCTTGCTGACTGGTGACCTGCTAACAAAATCCTGGACTACCTCAAGCTCCTAGTTCCTTGCAGTCCCTTTTCTGTGCCACCCATTCCACTTCTTCCCCTTCCACCAACACATTTATTTTCCAAATAAGGGACAAACACACCATCCCAAACACATTCTGGAGGACTAATGTTTTCTGGCAGTGTCTAGACCAGTCTGCAACACGTGGTCACCCCAAGCCTCAGGTGGGTATGAGGCTGCTGGCTTAGGTAACTATCTAACGTGTGGCTAAGTGAATCTCAACATTATTCCAATGTTAAAATATGTTGCATTTTTTTGCAGGGTATGAACTGGCCCCTGAAATGAACGCTAGCTTTCCTTGGTGAAAGTGAAATATAGACCTTTCAAACTTTAGCCAGCAGGACCAAGACATTAAATCTAAGAGTAGAACAACAAAATTTTTGTGGCAGGGAACTATCACTTTTTTGCACTTGCTCCAGTTCTCACAGGCTTTTTCACAGGCTTTTAAACAACAAATTAATATATTCTTGTAGCTTCTTGATATAAGGCTAAGTATTATAGCTTCACATTCATTTACGGTCAGACTTTCTCATCTGTGTCTGAAAGTGACAGTTTCAAATTAACTCTTTCATATTCATCAATAGCTATTTAGTTTTCTGAAAAGTGTCTTTTCCAAACCCAGCACTTCTCAAATTATTTAATCTGTTTTCTTAGAACTATCAGAAATCAAAGATATGATTAATTCTAAAAATCATAGGTAAAAAGCCTCTAGCTAGCCATTAATAATTACACTCTTATTGAAATAGTCTCACCCATACAGTATATTTAACGAGACAACGTCAAAGCCCAAAAAGGTTCTGCCTTTTGTTTTTTTCAAATATCTCAGTAAGCAACAATAGTTAGGAAAAAATGTGCGGAGTCACTTTGCTTTCTGTTCCCTGGGCTTGTGTTCAAATGAAAAGGTAAAATCATCTAGGATTGTCAGAGAGGAAAAGTTTTCTGAGTTGGTATATCAGAAAATACCTTCAGAACAACAGAAATTAGCTCTAGAAGGAAATATGTTACGTCTCCCCTTTTCTAGATAATTGTTTCTGAAAACATGTATATCAGCATCTCAGAATATTACCCGAATCACATGAATCATTTAAAATAGTATTTTATGAATATCAAAACAAAGATGAATTATTCTCTGGCCACTCTTAGCCATAGGCTGGTGAGCACCATAAAATGTTCTGGCAAAAGCTGTCAGAATTAATTTGCAAGCCTTCTGCTTTTTCTGGTGTTGTGTTGTAAAATGTACTGGGTTTTGCTTGCTTTATTTTTTTTTTTATTTCCCTGTGAGATTTCTACAACCACCAGATTTGTTTCCATTTGTTTCTGTAGCTAACATGCTAGAAGATCTATCAATAGGTTACTGTTCTGACACCAAAGCATAATTGCAGTGTAACCTACTGAGGACTGTTTGTTTCTTACAAGTTGCCCTCTGTGTCAATCCACAAAGGAGATGGATTGTTATATCCTGCAAACTGTAGTAACTCGTGCACTTAGCTATGGAGCCTTAATTACCTGTATGGCAGTAGGAGACCAAAGTGACAAAACATACCCACCATCCACTAGCCTAGAAAAAGTGAAACAAAATGGTTTCTTCATGCATCAATTTCTCTCCAGTCATCTTTACATATATATTTGTACATTCAGAATAATCAGATGCTACTATGTTAGCTTCTCACTGTTTGCTGGATGGTTTTAGACCAGGACAACATTTATAATTATAGAACATCTTTGCAATTCTGTAAGTTAATCGCCAAAGAAAGGAAGTCTTGCAAGCAGAATTTAAACCACAAAATCCCACTGAATCCCACAGTAAAGATATATAAATATACAGAAAAGGGGAAGTTTAGAACGAAAAGCTCAGGTACACATATACTATACATATACACATATAACTATAGACTTTCAGCAAAGGTAAAAACCAGTATCAGTAATATTCAAGAGCTTAGTATTCAGTATTAATTACTACCAATGTTTTTGTGAACAACAATCTTCTAGATGGTATATGATACATCTCTGCATGGAAACAAAGTACGTTTAATGCCTTTTCAGTGAAATTATTAATGCCAACAAACCATCACATTACCATCATACATTAACACATCAAATACCTTCACACAATTTGAATAGAAATTAAGTACTTGCTACTTACTTACCTAATTGGTCTCCTGAATTGTTAGCTTACTCTCCAAGGGGTGTAAAAGCTTTGGTGGTTTATCTGTTAGTGGTGCTAGAAAAGAAAGAAATTCACATATATACTTTTCTGATTATTATTGGGTAGAATAAAACTTGATTTTATACCTATTGTTTCAGGAATGCTTCGTTTTTTCTTTTGTTTAAATAATGTTCATGCCTTCAGTAGCTGAAAATGTTTTTGCTTAGAGAGTAAATATAGCACCAAAATTTAGAATCTTTCACATGCTAAGGTATTGAAGGCACTTGTGTTAAAAAAAGTAATCTCTTTAAACCCTCATGAAAACCATGCACTGACATGTTACAATTTTGGATTTTCATAAATATTATCCAGCAGTTCATAGTTTTTTATAACATTTAATTACCTTTCTATCAAATATAGACATTAACAGAGAAATAATATAAACTGAGTTACTGTAAAACAATTTTGAATATTTGATGAAAATTTTATTTAAAAAGATATTACCATCACTGAAACTTTTGAAAGTGGAGTACTAGAAAAAGGCTCAGTTTTCAAAATCCAAGGGATGGATACAGTGAAATAATGTCAAGATTCCTAATAAGATGACTTCCCTCCTCCCTTTTGATTTACCCTGAAATAATATTAGTAGACTTATGCAAATTGTGGAATAGGAAAATTTTTGTAGTGGTCAAAAACCTGAAGGTTGTTGAAGCGTGTTCAAACCATGCAGCTAAATAGTGCAGCTATTCTTCTAGATACATCATCTGTATACTTAATTCATAGAAGTGACATTGATTATTACTACTTTTGTTGTTGTTAGCAAGTGTACTCTTTACTGATCTCTGACAGATGAGTGTATGTTATATGAAAAAAACATTTTTTTTTCTTTAAAATTGATAGTAAATGTTCATGGGAAAGCTCCAACTTTTGTAGTCACTTGGAACGTTTTGATATTTTTCTTTTCAACATTAATTCATACTTCAGTCTTTAACACAGATTATGGGCTGTCAGAGATTTAAAGTACATTTAACATTTTGATATAACTCTATAATACTTGTTCCCTCCAACTTGTCAAAATCACTGTTCCCTTTCTTACTGACACACACATCCACATGTGTACGGGTTTAATCTGCTAAACACACTCATCCTCTGTCAGTTGAATTGCAGGAGAGGTTTAGTCGCATTCTCTGTACTATGTTTCCTCTGCCCCTTGGTTAAATTATCAATGCCCTGTAAAATCTACAGTATTAATTTCAACTTTGTAGCAATTACAGAATGAATCCATTACCAACTCGTATGTTTCTGCTTTACAGAGGTTTTCCTTTATCTGACCACAGCATAAACCCACCAAATTGGTGTCTGGGATGTTGATCCATCAGATCTAGGACTGAAAGAAAGTATCTCTTCAAGGATGGGAAAAGAACTGGATTTGGTCCACAGACCCTCTTTCAGTTCATTCTTCCAAAAACAGCTTCTACTCCCTACAGGAAATCATTCTGCGCTACAGATTTTGGAGAGAGCCACAGCTGTGAAAGACTTTTCGGCAACATCTCTGGGTTGTTATTTTTCTTTACACCGATTTGAATGCTTTTCAGCTCTCTCTGTCTTTTTTTATATTTTTTTTCTTGGGGCTAAAGTGGGTGGAAGGGAAAAAGATTCGAAATATGTTTTTTCTTAAACTGCAAAATTAGTCATTCCCATTTCTTAACTTCTGTGTAAAGGCTCATAATTTATCAGCACATTTCCATTTTTTAAACATCATCCACTATGAATTTAAATTTCATTTTGCAGTTCTGTCAATCTCAACTCAATTACCATTCATCAGATAATGTCTTCTGAGTCACTGTTGTTCTAAATCTGTTTTGAAACTCTTTGAGCAAACAAAGTTCTTTCATTGTAAGTAAAGATATAGTAACTGGTGGAGTTAATCTGAATGCAACAAATAAGTAGATTAGAAAACAGTATTTTCCTCAGTTTAAGCAAAGATTGACATTACTTTTGTGGTCCTGTACTTCAGGTCTCTAAGAGGCTTCCTACTTTTAAATGAACAGGCACAGGATGTTAATATATGCAGATAAACCATCCTTCAACAACAGCATGAAGTTATTATAAAATTTGTGCCCAATTTAATTTTTCCATAACTTGTAAGATTCAATAGATAATTTAACAGAGAAAATATTACTGAAAATAATAAATTAGACACATAACTGATGTATCAGAATCACAGGAGCATGTAGGCTGGAAAGACCTTCTGGAGGCCAAGTGGTCCAACCTCCTGTTCAAAGCAGGTCCAATAGAACAGGTTGTCAGGACCTCATCCAGTCATATTTTGAACATCTCTGTGGATGGAGATTTCACCATTTCAGGTGTTCCAGCCCCCAACCACCCTGTGGCCCTGCACTAGACTCAATCCAGTATGTCCATGTCTTTTTGTACACCGGGGAGCCCAAACTTTGACACAGCATTCCAGATGTGCCCTCACAGATGCTAAATAGATAGGAAGGATCACCCTCCTGAACCTGTTAGCTAAATTCTTGCCAAGAGCTGTGCAGTTGGCCTTTGCCAACTCATGCTCAACTTACTGTCCACCTGGGCTGCCAGGACCTTTCCTGCAAAGCTTTTTCCTACTCAGTCAGTCCCCAGTTCTGCACTGCTGCACAGGGTTATTCCACTTCTAGAGCAAGACATTGCATTTGCCTTTGTTGGACTCCATGACTTTCTCCAACTTGTCAAGGTCTCCCTAAACAGCAGCCCTGCCCTCCACTTTGTGACCAATTCCTCCTATTTTGCTGAGAGTGCACTCTGTCCTATCATTCAGGAGTACATAAAAACTCTAATCAACATTAAAACAAAGATACACCACAGGTTAACTGTGTTGTATACTTATTTTAAAGTGATAGTTACCAATATTTGTGGCCAGGAAGAATTAATGCTTAATAAGACAGTGTAACTCTAAGCTCTCTAAACTGGGGCAAATATCAGTATTTCAGTGTTGCACTCCCTATTGATGCCTACCAACCTAACACCGTTGTGGGTATGTCTGTACTACAAGCAATCACATCTCCCAGGGCCAACTCCTTCACCCATGTGGAAAAGCAAAAGCATCCCTGGGTATTCTCCACTCCAGAGTTTTAGGCTGTAGGGAAATACTGTGAATGGGAGTAATATAGGCAAGGAAAATAATTTGACTAATTAGCTATACTTAAAATATCAAATTTTCAAAAGTGATTTGAAATGTGCCCTCAGTCAATCAACACCTTTAGTGTCTGTTATTTTATCTATTTACTAGCCTGCAAATGTATGTATGTTTTCCTGGTAATTAATCCAGGTGGACTGAGGCAGAGGTGGAAATTTCTCCAGCTGCCTCTCTCCCTTTCAAGTTTTACACTCTCCACAGATAGCAACATTAATGGACAGCACAGAGTTTCTGCAATCCTTGTTTAGTTTAGAAACTCTGAAGTAGGCCTATGCATCTCCTATAAGCTGTTTCATATCCTTCAAACCGTGGGATGTGGTTTCTTAACTGGGTCAACCCACCATGCAACAGGCTATTCAAAATTAATACAATTTCAGATTGATATATGGAGGCACATTTATCTACTAAATTGAACAGCAAAACCAGAATTTAATCCATTCTTCCTAAACTTTCACTAAATAGCGAGAATCAAACAAAAATTATACAACTCACAACTACAGCTGGTCTCTTAAACAAGTTAAATACCTTTTTTCTTTTTTATGAATAGATGTAAGAAGGCAATAATTTTCACATCCTACAAAAATATCCATAATTTCAAAGCACTTCCTGTTCTGTCCTGTATGCAAAGAACCAGAATTCTTTTGAATGTGTGTAAAAAAATAAAGTCCTCTTCCCACCAGGTAGTAGTTATCAATATGGTTGTCATACAGGAGGAACAGAGTGTTCAGATTCCTGTTCTTATATGAGGGAATTCTCAAGTCTCTTGGCAAGAATCTTAGTTCCTGGATATTATTATCTACTGATGCATGGGTGCACTTCTCTCTTTTTTTTTTCTTTTTTTTTTTTCTTCTTTCCCACTTAAGAGTCAAGAACCTTATCCCAGACAAAGTTAACACAAACTGGTATATTCTTCTCAAAAAAAATGGGGTTTAACAGGTCAGATTCTTCCAAAGAAAAGCTGTTGGATCATAAATCAAGTTTACAGCCCATCTTATGTTTAATTTCTGAACCATCACTGATGAATGGTTTGAAAAAAAAATGTCAAACTTGTTTTTCATTAGAAACAAAATAAAGTAACAAAAACATCATAAGTGAAGTAACTGATTTTGAAGCTGTATTAAAAATTAATATTTGACTTCAGAGATACCATTCAGCTGCAGACATATTGATCCTGCTCAAAAAGAAAGTGCCTAAATTCACATTCCGTGCCTATCAGATTGGATGTACATTTAAAACATATTGAACAATTCATCTTGCGGTGATGAAACTGAGAGCCACCACAATCAGTCACCCAACTGGAAACTAGCCAGAAGATAATATTTTTGCATCAGCCACCTACTTCCATACTCCTCTTTCTAAGCTACCACTTTAGCTTTAGATGTTTATGGTCACGTTACATACATTTGCTCTATGCAGAATTCTGTTATTTGAAGAGACCAGCCACCTGTTAGGATTTAACACAGCTAATGAAGAAAAGCTTGATCCAAACTGTACATCAAAATATCATTAATCTGGACATAAAAAAATGGAACTACCTCAAAACCCACAAGCTTTATAATAGAAAAATAATAATTCTAAAGATCTATGTTTATGTCTGTTTTACAAAGTGCTGGCAGATTATTCCTTGCAAACTGTAATGATTACAAATAGTCCTAGTTTCTTAGAGGCAGACAGGTTTGTGTGGAGTTGTCTGCAACTCAGAAAGGCAGTTCATTGGCTGGAGACCTCCTGCAAGGACAAAAATTCACAGGAATGGCTGCCTTACCTGGCCAGTCTGAGTTATCTATATTTTAGAACACTTCTTGTTCAACTTTTTTATTGAAGAAAAACTTACTTTCTGAGGATGAAAACCCTTCTGATCTTTCTGAGTTTTGAGATA